TTTTTTTAATGACCGTGTTTTTGACTCTGACTTCAAATGATGAACTGTGCTCTCTGGCCTCCTGGAAATGTGACGGGAATCCGTGGGATTCACTGGTGAGACCATTGTGTTTTTTTTTTTAAATATATTTATTATCATTTTTTTGTTTAAAGACCATTGGTGGTTTTAACTTCTAACCTGCCAAAATGATTTTTTAAAATGTCTAGCGGGAAGCCACCTGTCAGGTGGTCTGCCAAAAAGCCACCTGCCCAAAAAGGAAATAGGTGACATTTCTCGTGTAGAGTATCATATTTTATCTTCCAGTCAACTTGTCACCTTTTTTTTTTTTTTTTTTTTTTTTTTTTTTTTTTCTTTTTTGGGCCTTGCCTTGTTGGCGTTCTCGCCTATTTCGAACTCAAAAGAGTTAACCATAGGCGGCCACGCAGGTTGGCGGGGAAACAGCGGTGAGGCGTCATCCAGCCATACGGTCCGTACCATAACGGTCTTCGAGCCGGCTTCGACTTCGAGCTGTCGTCTACCGTTGTTCGGGCGTCAATAGCTGTTCCCAATGGTTCCGTCGGGGCTGCGGCGGCTTGGTTCGTGTGCTGCCGCGTATCGCGGCACCAGGGTGTGTCAACGCTACACAGGAGGAAGCGGGTTATTCTCCCCGATCCCGATCGAAGTTCCGCACAACCGGGGATTGTTAGCCGGATCGCGATCGGGGCCAAGGCTCCAATCTTTCCTCCATTCAACAGGGTGTCCATCTGAGTCGTCATCAGCGGATCAGCGGGAGCGTCTTCTCGCTGCATGTGTTCTTGAAAGACTACCAGTAGTTCTTCCGGAGCTTCCCATCTGGGAGTCTGATTTCCAGACATTCTGCTTCGAAAGACAGCAGCAAGAACGAAAGGAACCTCCTGATGAGTTTCTCGATGCAGCGTCATCTCTCGGACGGGAAGATGACGATCTGGAGTTTGAGCCAGCGCCTTGTATCACAGAAGCCGATCGCAAGAATGACAGAAGGTCGTTGAACCGGGCATTGGCGCAGCGATTGTATCTTATTGTGTACGGTAAATCTGCGCTACAGCCCGACAGCAAGCAACCGGTGTGGCACTTTCCTCTGGTCGAACACTCGGCTGGCGAGACAATACGACAGGCTGCGGAGAGGGCCCTTGTGCAAAGGTTGGGGTCAGGGATGGATGTCTACTTCGTTGGAAATGCTCCTTGCGGCCATCTTGAGAGGTCGGAGCCCATCTCTAAGGTGTTTTTCTTCAGGTCACAGATTTTGAAAGGATCGATAGAGCTGCAGGGTGGCATCAAGGATTATGCGTGGGTGACGAAGGCGGAACTCGCCGATTATTTCGATCACACCCAGAGTGAGGATCACAAGTTGCTTATGCAGAAGATGCTTTCGTCCTGAAACAACTTCCCCCTAAGAGAAAACAGGTGTTCTACTTTGTAATGTTTTTCGAATGCTCCATCGAAAACTCCGGCTGTGACTACGTGATTGATTGATTGGAGTGTGCTACATCTGTTCTAAGCTACACACACCCGCAGCCTCCGGAAGTCACCGCCCAAGAGGAGGCCAGTAGGCCCCGCTATATCGTCCGGAGGAGCAAGCAGCTATGTCGTTGTATGGGCACTTGTTTGTCAACACAGAAGTCAGATGAGGAGAAGAGAGGTAGAAGTGAGATTCTTGTTGGAGTGTGTTATGTGTATTCCAATTTAGGTAAGTTTTGATTTCAACTACGTCCAATCATATTCCTCGAGATTTGGCGGGCGGTATTTTTTGTGGAGCGGAGTGCGGGGAAATAAGTTCAAAAAAATGGTTCCTGAGTTTTCTGATGACCCGTGACGAGGTTCAGGGATGCCGGCCATGTGCATACATGATGCAATCTTGTCCCCAGTGCAACCTGTCCCACCTTACCGCAGTCGACTGCACCTGACCCGTCCCGCCCCGCTTTTTGTAAGCATTTTTTTTTTTTTTTTTTTTTTTTTTTGAAGGGCGAGAGCCTTGAGATATCAGCTTTGAACTGACTGGCCCAGGTAATTCAGGATTATCTAACTATGTTCATCTCATTGCAACTGGATTCGAACTTGGGGGTTTACATTTCAACAGATCGGGGGTGTACCAACTGAGCTGGGGTCGTTGGTAGTTGTTAGCGAATCTGAGGGCAGTGGGACTTACACAAATCCTGAACAGAGCAAGAACATAACAGGGAACCACCTGAAGTATATTTCTAACTGTCAAAAAAAAAAAAAAAAAAAAAAAAAGTTAATATCTTGCCATGCAGTTTTTCAAACTTGTCCCACAGCACTAATGGGTTAATAGGTGGTGTCATTTTCTGCGAAATTTTCAGCGAAACTGCCATATCTCCCAGAGTTTTGACGTCATTGCTTGTTGTGATGCGGCGCCCCCCCCCCCCCCCCCCCCCCCCCCCCCCCGAATTTTTGGCCTTACATTTAACCATCTCTCGTCACTTATTTCATACTTGTCAGGTGCTCTATCATTCCTGTCTATGCTAATGTGACCCGATTTCCAGACCAGGTGAAGAAGCTCCACACGTAGATCCAGCGGCCATCAGGGGACCTACTAGGAGGGGGGGATGCTCTTATCACCCCAACGAGTAGATTCGGCTGGGTTTCTTACCCAAAAAAAGAAGAAGAAGAAGAAAAAGGGGACAAGGGACAATATCCCTCCCATCCCCTTACTTGTGAGAGGTAGCTATGCTTGCAGGGGTCCCGTCTAGTACAGGCTTAGGAGTAGTGGTAGGTAGGTAGTGAAAGGTGAAATTGAGAGGCCAATATTGCTTACTTCAAACAAACAAACAAACAAGCAAGGACTGGTGCAGGCTGCAGTCCTCTTTAAATGCCTTCTTTTTTTTTCTTTTTTTTTGTTAAGGGTGACGGCTTTGAGATTATCTTTGAGCGGACCTGCATTTCTTCTTGTTTTTCCCTTTCTTTTTCTAAAACGTTTTTTTTTTGTTTTTTTTTTTGTTTTGTTTTAATGGGAACAAGGCTCCAATCTATTCGTGGGGAGCAGCACGTACTGGGAACCGGCCCCAGCGTCCCATATGGAAAAATTTACATCGAATTTTGAAAATTTGAGATGCCGGGGCCATTCCCCGGCTTTGGCTAAGAAAAATTGGAGCTACTTAGCAAATCACTACGACGAACTTCAAAATTGGACAAAATTCAGAAACCAACTCAGGAGCCCCCCATCAATCCTCTTTACCTCACTCCTGCAAGACTTGCTGCAACAGAGCCACCATCTCCGTTTCCGTTGCTGCTGTACCCTATTTCCATCCCACCAGCTAGCCCCCGCACTAGTAGGATGCTTGATATCCCACCATCTGCTTCTCCCACTCACCTCAAAGACTCAGACACCCCCAATCCACCTCCTGTACCCCACTCCGGAAGACTTTACTTCAAAAGAGCCACCATCTCCGCTGCTGCTGTACCCTATTCCCGTCCTACCAGCTAGCCCTCTTGCTAGTAGGACGCGTAATATCCCACCTTCTCCTTCTCTCACTCACCTCGGTCTCTTCAGAAAACGTCTGAGCAATACGAAAAACATAGACAGAGACCTCATAGGTCCTACAAATGCTCGAGGCCCCTTGAAATCCCTAACAAACACTTCCAAAGCACTCCGACACTGTCGTACTCCCTGCGGATCTCTTCCAGGTCTCACACCCCCACATCCTGCTGGGTTACAGGGCAACACAACTCACCCCAGCTCGGACCAGCATCGTCCCAGCAGCAAACCCTTAGTTGTCCCGTGGAATGCCCATTGCCCACCCCAAAGCATCCCCAGATCTCTCTACCAGGCCTCACGCTCCTGCATCGGCAGGTTTCAACAGTTGTTAATTTCATAATTTTTATTAATTTCGGAGTTATCTCAGAGGTACTTTCATTTTTTCACTCAACTGTTTTCGATTCGGCGTCCGTGCATTCCAACTCAGGGCTGCATTTGCAACGGTTCATGGGTGTATCAACGGAGCTAGGCAATTTGATATGCTAGGGGGGGTTAGTTGATGAAGGGTCGGATCGGAAGTGGGTTGGACGGGATTATGATGGGGTGTAGACCAGGAGCGTCGAAGAGGTGGAAATCCCGCCGAGGAAGACCCTTTGGCAACCATCGAAACGCGTGGCGTCGGGGATGCCACGCCTGCCGTTGTGCCTAATGATTTTTGAACATTTTTCGGTAATTAAAATGTGACACAGTCGGGGACACCGCGCCTGCCGGTGCGGCGAATGATTTTTTTGCAATTAAAATGCTACACCAGCGGGGATGCCACGCCTGCGGTTGTGCCCAATGATTTTTTTTTCTGTATTTCAAAATGGTACACGCGTCGTTCACCAGTTTTGTGGACTTTGACTGTGTTTGTTCTACTTTGCTGTGATATCTAATTGATTTCCGTCTTCACCCGAATAGAACGCCTGCTCGTTATAGCTGTGTATTTGGGGCAACYTTCAGTCTAGATACAGTGAGAATGACSGGGCGGTCTATTTGGGTGAAGAYGGTAGGCTATGAATGTTGGTGTCYTCTTGAAATTCAAGAGGACRAGGGAAAAACATATTCATAGCTGCTCTTGGATTTTGTTTTCTCTGGGCATTGCTTCACTACTCGACATTTGACAAGTATCTGGACTGGCATGCACATGGACGGATTGAGCATTTAGATTCTTGAATGAAATTGGACTGGCATGCACAATGCACATGGACTGATTGAGCATTTTGTTTGAATGAATTTGGTCAATCTCTTGTCAATCCYCKCTGCGTGGGTGGTGTGGTGTGGATAATGATTGGAGAATGTACACATCGCYGATGTAATGAGGTGGAACAGCATGACATGCTGGCTGGCTGGCAGATACGATTTATTATTTTTCACCGTTTTCGAAAGAACTTTTCTCATTTTTGAATCGGCGGGGAVGGGKTCGGTGTCCGTGCTATGGTGCAGCCKCCTAGTTGTCCCTAGCACTTCCCATTTTTGGTTGCCACTCCCCGCCCTGCCTYGATGGGCCTGGTTGCCTGGTCTCTGGCCCTGTACTGACCAACCAGGTCCCCCATGAACTATTGAGACCAGTCAATCAGGTCCCCCATGTAGCACCCGGTTCCCAGTTTGTGCCAAATTGTGAGGACCCCACTGCGKTGCGGATGGAAAAGACGTGTGGCCACGAAAAGTCGGGGGTTGTCATTTTGGAAAGTCGGAACGCCATCGCAGAGGACCAAATGCGCATTTTGGAAATGAAAACCTTTTGGAAATCAGTTGAGCCAATCGTGGCGTGTTTCCGTTGGCACTGGGTTGTTTTGTTCTTTTTTTCGGGTTGTGTGTGTGTGTGTGTGTGTGTGTGTGTGTGTGTGTGTGTGTTTTTTGTGTGTGTGTGTGTGTGTGTGTGTGTGAGTGTGTGTGGCACTCTTCATCATCGCTATTGGCTGCTGCCTCCCGTGAGACTTTTCCAGGAACGACATGCCCTCCCCCGTACCCTCTAGAGTAGGCAAAAAATTGCTGCGAGGAATCCTCGTGTGAGACTTTTCCAAGCCGCGGACTATGCAAAAATACAAAACGATGTTTTTCCAAGCCGCAATCTCGGGTCTGTGGGGCCCTGGAAAAAGGGTTTGCAGAAGAAATTTCACCTTTTCCAGGACATTTGCGGCAGGCTGTGGGGTCCTGGAAACAGTTTTGCGGCAAAGTTTTTCCTTTCCGCGGTCCTGTGGGGTCCAACCCTAAGAATGGGGCTTTGTCACTCCCCCGGTGAACCTGGGTTGTAACCAAGTACTAGGTTATCAGCAGGAAACCAAAAACGGTACGGCCGATAAGGCGCCCTAGCCAGCCACCAAGCTGTTTGGGATCCCTTTTTTTTTTTTTTTTTTTTTTTTTTTTTTTCAATGAAAGCTGTTTGGCATCCTTCAGAGACTTCACGCGAGAACTCTCTCAATCAAACAAAAGGAAGCGGCCTCTTGCGCCTTCAGCCTTCAATACCATACGTAGGGAGCGCTGAAGGCCATTTGGTTAGTATTTGGTGGAAGTCCTTTGTCCTATTCATTGACTGCTGTGTATTGGCATTGGGCCCGGTTTCCGGGAGTGTGGCTTCCGCTTCCCACGAATGCGAACACAGCTTTGAATTGTGTCAGCAAGGAGAAGAAGACACATCAACTTGGGCTGTTGTCTGAACCACCAGTACTTCCTAAAATTGTGCCCATTAACAAGCCAGAATTTTAGGAAACGTACAGGCCATTACAGGAGCGCCCGAATTCATCCGAGTAGAAACGTTTCTACTCTTTTTTTTTTTCAGCGGCCAATAGCTGGGCCAGGTGTTGGTGGTTAAAAAAAAAAAAAAAAAAAAAGCGAGAAGAAGAGGAAGAAGAACAAGAAGGCAGTCAATCCTTCTATTCAGTCAGAGCAATGAATGCTACAGTGTCATCTTCTTCTTTTT